AAAATGTCAGACATTACAACGTTGCCGATTATCGAGGCAATTCACGGCGCATCCAAAAACCTCCCTCTACGATTCGAGCATGCGCACTGTGATTTGTTACCAAAAAGTGGGGATAGTGACACTATTGGGTCTTTTATCTTTCTACTGTGTCCGCACTGTGTAAAACACCAATTACGTAGGATTTAGTTAGTATATAAACGTCTCAGAAAATTATTGTCAGTTAGTTAAAACACGTGTTGCGGTTTTGTTAACTGCTCAGTGAAAATCTCACAATGAAGGGTTACTTGGAGACATAAACTCAAGTATTAACGAATATTATAACTATGAAAAGATTTGGAAAGTATATGATTTTTCACCACAATCCAACGTTTCTCAAGAAATTCCTACATAATTATTTTCTATCATATTAGAAAGTGATTGGAAATCGAATCAATAATTGTTACATTTGTCAAGAAATTCCGATATCTTTTTTTTTTAAATATATTAGAAATGATGAATATGTTACCTAGACACGAAATTTGAGATGTTTAACTGGAAATTTGATAATTTATCTCTATATTATTGGGTTGTTGTAATATCACCAAAAATCATTCATCGATATTTATTTTTCAATTATTTGGAAAATATGGAAAGAAATCACGTACTCAGTTGTCGAATATTTTCGAAGAGGATCACCTCACAAGTATGTGCTGACTGGACAAAAATTCATCGTCCTGTCTGTTTGTTCCTTATACTGAAGAAGTATAAGGTTCACAGTCTAGAAATTTTTCGTCTCTTCATCCAGTGGAAAAAATGAATCTTAAAGGAAATCTGGTAGGCCGTGGTCAAATGAAACCACTAGTACCAAACGTTTCGTCTACAACTGGGACCGACATCATCAGTAGTATATGTCCTGACTTCGAAATATTATCTTCTGATGTTGCAGTAGCAGACACAAAGTTTGAAACTTCTGGTTCCATTCGACCACCGCTCACCAACTTGGATTTCATTAGATATTCTTAGTTGGATTACTTTTCATATGGAGTAGTTTTGTTGTGTCAGTAATTTGGAGATTATTGTAATAATTGCGCTTTCCTTAAATTATTCTACTAATAATATCTCAAAGTGAATGCGTTTTTTGGTGGATCCCATTGATAATCTCCTTCATTCGGAAATACATTCATTTAGCTAACTAATCGAACATTTGACTTTTGAATAGAGTATTTTACCAGATCGTACACTTGAATTCTGGGTTCATTGGACTATTAACGGGACAGTTATAAGCTTTGGAAAATTCCACAGAGTTGCTAAGTACACCAATCACTCTGAATATTCCTGGAGAGTGGACAGAAGTCTTCATTCGACTCTTTGCTGCTTCGATTCTTTGTTGACCGCACCAGACTTGTGCGAAATTGAGGAAAAACAGCTGTCGGTTGGTGAGATTCAGACCAGGAAGGGTCTCATCAGCATCAGGGTTTTTCTGGAGCCATGTTTCATAGGCACGGTATGACTGTTTCAAACCTATAAGAAAATGAAAGTTAATCAATAATCGACAAGGCAGATCATGAAATGTATTGATTCATTTATTTACCGGGCTAACCTAATTGACATTATAATACTGAAATGTAAAAAACTAACCTGTTACTGGAGAAGTATAATGAAAACAAAGCATTCGTACTGGGCTGAACCACGAATGCATTATTGGCGCATTAGAGCACCAGCCTGAGTAAGTAAAAGCAAAGATATCTTCCGTTAGATAGACGCCATCTATGAGATCGACAGAAGTGTCAAACCACGAATATCAAAGATGAACGAACCTCCCCAAAGCAACTAGATGTAACCAGACCCGAAAAAACAACAAACGACAAATAATTTCTGTCATATATTGTCATATATGTGTTTACACGTACATAAGTGTGTACGTGTAAACAGATGATTGGATTAAAAAGGTCACGTCATGCAAAATTCTCCCGATGCGATGTTAGAAACGTTCATGTCATATATGTTGAATGATATTTTTATTCTGTTGAGAGAAGATAAACTGGTGAAGCTGGTAAAGTGAAAAGAAATTGCAAATGATTTGGAATTGCAATTACCGAAAAAATTAAATTTTGAGAACAATACTTTCAAGTAATTCCAGGAAATCGATAATTGCTGGTGATACTTTTACTAGATATATAATGCCACAGACAGCGAGTTGTCATGTTATCCATACTGATCTCTTGTAAGATCAAGCTTTCGTAAGTGCAGAATCGACAGAAACAAAATCTTCAGCTATTCATATTGATGAATGTTTGGATTGGCCGAATAATTGCAGAATCTCAGTAAAAAAATCAATTTCATTAGTTCGGACTTCAATTGTCTGATATTATTCTGCTATGATTCGAACTCTATGGTAGAACAAATAAAATCAGAGTAAATAGCTAAAATATCAAATTGTGATGCACTGTTTGGAAACTTTCGTGTAGTAATGAATATTACTGGAGTTTTTCCCCAACACCAAACCGTTACTTTAACACCTCGACACGTGTTTTAATCACCAAGTGATCATCTTCAAGAAGATCAAATACAATGAATGAAATAATCAAGATGCAAAATGAAATGACCACACAGTAGAAAAAAATAAGAAAGAAAGAAAATAAAATAAGCAAGTTCAAACCAAGTTACTTGACGATATTGCGATTATCTTCAGGTGATAACTGGACTATTCCTCCGAATGATGACTGTTTATAGGTCATTCGAGTGCTCTCACCTATCCCCTCTTTTCTCTCCCCCCTTCACCGGTTCAGTGGGAGTTGATCGTTTGGCGGGAGATGACCATATGTTTCGTATCTCTACACAGGTTTGGCTGAATGCGTCATTAAACAACATATATGCAGCTTCTTTGAATTTCCTCTCAAGTCAGTGTTCCTCTCTTGGATGATCTCAGCCTGGAACTACTCGATGTTATGTTAATGAGTCCAAACATGATCTGTTATTCCCGATTTTCTAGTTTCTCTTTGCTGTGTATTTCTCTTGTGTTCGGCAATGCGGACTAATAATGGCCTCCGATATAGGATTTGCCTAACTCACAGGGTGCCCAGTAAATGCAATTCTTAGAATCGCAGTCCGCATTTGGTAGCCTGGTTTCAGTGAGGCTACTACAGATGGTATTTTCGGATCTGAAGCAGGTTCTAATGTTGTACTTGGACCCAATTTTTCTGATCCTTTCCGACACTCCTCTGTCGTAGCGTAGGAAAGTACAAGCACTGGTTGTGACGGCTTCCCTTCCTTGCAAGGTTCTTGCTGTCTTCCTGTCAAAATCTGTTCCACCATCACTTAGGAGTATAATTTTCGTTGAAAATCTTTTTTGATGATGCCTAATTTCCTTCCTCCGTATTACAGAGCCAGAAAGCACGCTCCACTAGAGTCTTGATGATTCCTCTTTTGATAGATTGACGGTGGTTGAATTCATGATTCAGATACTGTCCCATGTAAGTGGGTTTTCGATACTGAGATGTTCCCCACTTAGTGTTGGTCCTCTTCACCAATACGTCTGAGAATGCCATTTCGTTGTGGAATTTCTTTTACATTGTAAAGGTGATGAAGGGTTTCACGCTGTTGATGTACTTCAGAAAAGTGTTTACTTCTGTATTCCCATAGTGTCATACTATGGAGGTGTTCGTCAACATATTTTAATCAGACTCGGGGCTTCTTGTGGCAAGAGTTTCAAACCATTCCATATGTTAGCTATAACTCGTAAAAGTGGCGATCTCATTGGTATTTTAGCTTTTCATTCTTATGTTATCAGTTCTTCTATAGATTTCGAATCTGAGGTACGGAATCAGCTTCTGGGGTGAATCATGCAGATGGATTGATATCTTCAATTCACAGAAAAAAACAATACGCTTAATTGATAACTTGAATACTCATGATTCTTATAGAAATGCTTTCAAATGTTCCATAATTTGACTTTACCTTATCTTTTACTATTTTACTGATCTAAATATGTTTTTGAGAATGAAAAAGAAATATTCGTATTGATTAAAACAAAATATATTTTCACCTACCATTTGGGAAAAGCAAACTGGCTCACCGAATCATTTGGCTCAAGACTATGAAAATATCTTATTTCTATAAATAAAAATGCATGTTCAATCTACAGTATAGATAATCGGGGGTGTATATTTATAGTTGACCATTCCTACAGAATGGTCAACTACAAATGGTCAGAAATAAAATAAAGTTCATTCGTTTTAGTGTATTTATTTATATTTAAAAGCACACTATCTCAAAAACCTCTTTTGGACACGTTCAATTTGCTTGATATAGCACCACATTCAGGATACCAGACAATAGAATTGATGTCACATATGAGCTGTAAATTATTTTCGTGCGTTAATGCCGAAAATCTTTGCCTATCCCAAAGATAAATCCTAATATTTTGAAAGGTTTGGCCACAATTTCATTTATTTTTTAGGCAAATGTCAACTTGGTATTAAATTCCACAACCAGGTCTTCAATTCACTTTACTCGTAATAACTAATTACCAAGAATTTATTTTACTGGTAATCATGACACATTCAAATTTATTTATTGATTTGACTCAATTGATCTGATTTATGAATATATTTCTATAAGAGCATAGGATCGTGAAAGGAACGATAAAGTTTTAGATCATCTGCAAACAGAAAAATTGAGAGTTTTGATACAAAAAAAGTCATCAATGAAAAGGATGAACAGAAGCGGAGCTGAGTGATATATTTGTGGGAACCCAAACGATACTTTGAGTTGTTGAATTGGTTATGTCACCTCAAATACAAATTTTCTTATAATTTTGATACAATCTGGTTAGTTATATTCGAAAAACTGTTGTCTTACCTCCATTGTCAGCAATATTTTCTCCTTGAGTCATATATCCGTCTAGAGAAACATGTATGTCAGGAAGAACGTATTGTCCATATTGTTCTATCATGCACTGGGATTTCTCATAAAACTTTTCAATAGAAGAGTCTCTCCACCACATATGAAGATTGCCTTCATGGTCGAATAACCTACCTGAAAAATTACTAACATCTAAACAAATTCAAATGTAGATGTCGAAATTCTCGACTAAACGCATGTCTGTTCATTTTTGACGAAAGTAGAGATTGTTTTTGACAACCAAGAATATGCAGGAAAAAAAAAGAACACATGAAATATCTATTTATGGGAGGATATTGGAAGATTCAACAGCTGAGGTGCTTAAACAAACCTAAATTGTTGATAGGTTAACAAAATTTTATAAAAAGAATAGCGTTGCAGAGAAAGCATTTGCAAAAACAAAGATGAAAAGAGAAGAATTTATTATCAAAGTGTTCGAGGAACATGGATATATTTTGTTAAGTGTAACACATGAGATGAGTCCCGAGTTCTAAGAAAGAAAACGATTTTTTTTCAAAATTGGCTTCATTCATCGACATAATCTCCATCAAGAGCCACATAACCATTCAAGCGCCACTTTAATATTTCAATACTACTTTTATAGAACGATTTATCTTTTGCCTCAAAATTGGCCTGTTATTGGACAAGGTTATCCAGTTGATCTTCACTCAGATGACGATTGCTTTGATTCCCTAGTGAAGTAATGGATCCACGTTTCATCCATTGCGAATCCAATGCGAACATTCTGGGGTGTTATGTTCAAACAAAGCCAAACACTGCTCATAGTGATCAAGACGCTCTTGTTTTTGGTCAACAGTGAGCTCATCCCGCGGCACCCACTTTGAATAGAGCTTTCTCATTGTCAAATACCCATGCAATATGAAGCCAACACGTTCTTTGAAAATTTAAAAAAGTCAACTAACTCACGCAACTTCATTTTTTGATAATTCAAAACAATTTTGAGTTTTTTCTCTGTTTTCTGGTGCTACTGCCTCATTTGGATGTCCACTGCATTATGATCATCGGTGACTCCACGACCAAGTCTGAGGTCAACAAACCAACGCCTAATTGTGGTTTCTGATGGGGCAGATTCCTTATAACACTTTTCAAGTCATTCATTCGCTTGAATGGTATTTTTTCCTATCAACAAGTAGTGTAAAATTCTAACGCGAAACTGTTTCTGATCCACTGCTTCGAAATTAACAAAAGTAGTGTCACTCTTAGCATAATAACTAACAAACTCATGAGTAGAATATCATGACATTTCAACAGCTTCCTTTTTAAAGTTAGTACTAACTGAAAAAGCAGCAAATGCAATAAGACCAGCGACATATATGTGATAGGCCCGACACTGTTCGACCCACGTAGTATATTGTAGACCCAGTATTTCTCTGGATGGAGTCCAGAAAAGAGCAAATCTTCTAAAAGCGCTGAGAATCAAGTAGAATACAAAATGTTCATGAGACAAATCCTGAATTATAAAACCACTATCCATTACAAGCTCTGCCTGAGACGATCCCACCGCATCTCAACAACTGGGAGAAGAATCCTACACAACATCCATAACCTCCCATTTCGATACCCCTCCCAAGATTTGTATAACAGAGTAAAAATTATCCCAAGCAACCTAAGATTTCAGGAATTCCAAGACCGATACGCCGCAAGAACAATGAGTAGTGCAGTATCATACCGCCGCTTTTGACACACTGGCCACCTCCTGGACACCAGAAGGATGCTGAGGAAGAAGCTCCAGTTTACTCCAGCCAGACTCCTGGGAGCCATGGAGCAGATCCAGGACATTCTCGAAGAGTACATAGTAAGGATCAGATCTGAATACACTGAAGCCTTATCTCTTCCACCCCTGGTCTTCTCAAACCTGAACCTGCAAAAATCGACCACCGCGATGGACCTCGACCACCCTAATCGTTAAAACCAACTGACAACTTAGATTGATATAGATAAACTGGAATAAGATAGATAGACTAGATTGAGGTAGATATGAATAAAAGCTTGTCAATCAACCCTAATCCTAAAGAGACATGAGCCTATATTAGTCCGCCCTCACAACCAATAAAAATGAAAACTCATGTAAACTAACCGTAAATAAACGTCCTGAACTTCACCCAGTATTCAGTTTCAATTAGTGAATTGAATTACGTTCAACATGATTTGTTACGTGACAAGAAATACGACTTTCAACAGTTTTATTCGATATCACAAATAAATTGAAATTGTTGGTTTCCATATATTTCATTCAGATTTGTAAACACTACTAGACAATCTCAGAGTGCCTTTGTAACACTGTAAAATCAAGACAGTTCATTCAATAAAGACCTAGTTCTTCTAGTGAAAGAGTTTTCACAAAGAACTTGCAGTTTGAGGTGTACAGAAGTCACATTCTATAAAGTTTGTTAAATTTCGATTATGCAATATCTCTCCATACTCTGTTTTAGACTTGAAGCTTCCAGACATATCCAATCGAAAATAGTGGATCGTATTTACGACCCGTATTTTTAATCTTGATGAGTCATGACTTTGAGGTTATGCTAGGATTGTTACGATAATGAAGAATTAGAAACGATAAATTGATATAATATAAAAAGTGAAATCCCTCACCTTCCTACAGAAAGTTCGTTTAAAATGATACATACTATATAACAACAGTTTATTGATAACTCAGATATAGCGGTGATTTTAGAACAGCAAAAACTTTCTGATCTGAAAATCTTGGCATGGAAAAAGGTTCCTGATGAATTTACTCAATTTTACTACTTTTAGCTTGGGTAGAAAACAGCTATTAACTGTTGAAAGATACATCCATCAAGAATACTTTGTCGTATGTTTCATGTTCAAACATGTCAAATGGTTGCCATTACACATTTTTTATTTTTTGCGATGTACCAATACAACCTATAGAATCTTATAATGCTGTTTGAAACTTTCTGAAGAACAAATCGATACACTGTATCGTTTCTGTATTGACTGATTTGGACTCTGTTTATTGCTCAAGAACTGCCTGAGTCACAACGATATGAATTTTAACAGCATCTTCATAGATAATTCTACAACTTCAACATTTTGCCCTATATGGTTTATATTGATCCCTCTAATGAAACTTTCACGAAATACTTATTCGTTTTCAAAACTATAATGGAATCATAGGATGAATATGTGAATATTGATGTTATTCCATAACAACAATGTTCTAATGAATGTAAAATTGTTACCCTTATCATCAAATCCATGTGTTATCTCATGTCCTATAACCACTCCGATTCCTCCAAAGTTAAGAGCCTTTGGAAAATGTCTGTTATAGAATGGAGGCTGCAACATGCCAGCTGGAAACATAATTTGATTTTTATTTCTGCTGTAATAAGCATTAACTACTGCTGGCGGGGTACTCCACATGGTTCGGTTCACAACAGATCCTAGTCGTTTCTGTTCTACTCGTGTTAGGTGTCTTAGGATAGTCAAAACATTTTCAAAAAAATAGTCTGGATGAACCTCAACGTTGTCATATCTGAAACATAAATGGATCATTGCTGAATACTTCAAGAAATAATATATAGAGTGCCTAACAACTAAGCAAATAGTATATTTTGCTTTCCACCTAAGGATTCCGTCAAATGATTCAAAAAATATATCATTGTATCAGTATATAATGTCACCACCATTGTTATTACCATTATATAGGTATATAATGTCAAAATGTTGATCTATTCAACCATTCCCATTTTCAATACAAACATTGTTGAAAAGTTGAGTATATTCTCAGTACCTTTTGGTGAAGAAAGGTTTTGTCTTGGTACTTCTTCATCTCGATACAAATATGTGGGAATATTCAAAAGAAAGTAAGGAATCAATCAATTTCAAAGAAGTAATTTCATACAAAGAAGTAACTTTCAGACACAAATTGAAAGAAAAAGCCTTCTCGAAACAGCTACTTCCATATAAACATTGGATTACACTTAAGAAAATTATTTTCGAAACAAATACTTTTATATGAACACTGAATTATACAAAATGGAATGGAATCAGGTACCATTCACAGGATTCCTACACAATATACTAAATGAAAGAGGTGAAATTTCACTTACCTGGAACACTGTTATCCTCACTGGTAGACATCCAATGGTTTCGCCGTAAAACACTTGCCTTAAGAGCTCGTCAGTACCAGTCTGGATAACATAAAAAAACACACAACTCATTCATAAATTACGATTTTCATGTCGTCACGAAATGAGTTTGATCTATTCCTTTCATCGTAGCGACGTTCATTTGCTTAAAAGATTGAATCCCTGCCAAAGGAATCTTGTTTCAAATGAAATTAATACAAAAACAGGTGGGAATCTTTCAAAGATAGGAAGAAATCAATCAATTTCAAAAAATAATTCTATACCAAGATGTGTAGATCATACAGAGAATGTACTTTCAGACAGAAACTGGAAGAAAAAGCCATTACGAAACAGCTACTTTCATATAAACATTGAATTAGAGGTGTAATCCATATTTCCAGGAAAAAAATATATATTGAATGGAATATATTGCATTTAATATTTCATTTCACTTGAAAAAAAAACCTCAATACGCTACGCTTCTTTTGGATACCCTGTATATTGGTAGATGATTCAGAAAGGCTGTACTGATGGCTACAACTTTTATACAAATAATTTCTTCGTAACTTCACATTCGCTAGTTGAAGTTCAATTAGACACAATGTACTTCATAAATAGTTTAAAAAAAACTGTTTAAAATCTGTCTTTCCGTTAATTCGTTTTCTAATGAGGAAATCGAAATAATGTGATTCATGCTAGTTGACAAATTTCATTCGTTCAGTTAATCATATGATTTTCCCTGTAGTATAGCTCATCAACATTATATCAATTGTCATCTCATGTCTATATTACTACAGTATAAACATCATCATGTTTCCAAAACAGATGAATCTGTTAAAAAAAAACTAATTACCACAGTTTATTGTACGATTTTCACTATAAAGTGAAAATCATACAATAAACTGTATTGTATTAATTAGTTTTAATATGGAGTTTCAAAACGTATCGGCCAGTTTTTTCAATTACGAATCTGATAAAAGACTCTTTTCTGGGAACTGTTATTGAAAACATCGATAATGTACGCATAATAATCGAGGTTGATCAAAAAGTAAACACTCAAAGAGAGTTTTGAAAAGAAGCAAGGTTCTATTTGAAAAACAATCGAAAATGGTATAATCGTACCTCATGGCCAACTCATTATCGTTGAGAATGAAATCGGGAAAGCCAATTTTCAAATCAATGTTATCCAACTTCATCAAGGCATAATCTTTGGTGTTATTGTCCAACCAAGAGTTCTCCACTAGAGTTGTTCGGAAAGACTCTTCTAGGTCCTTGGTCATTTCTATGGTGTCCATTTTGCTGCTTTGGTCGAAATACTTTTCAACAAACATTGCACCCAACGCCATGCCCATGTTCGAATTGACTTGCGAAACGCAGAACTCCCACCTGGGAGGATTCTTTTCTCGGCCAAATAAAATGTAATAAAAGCGTTGCTTCGCATCCAGGAATCTTCGGTCCAAGTTGTTGGTTCTGTGTCTGACAAATCTCCAGATGAGGTAATTCTGCAGTATTCTTGGATCAGTAATACTGACTAAATAGAGCAGTTCATGTATAAATCTTGCACAGTAACAAGCGACCGGTGTTTTCAAGTCTATATCGGTACCCAATACAATATCAAAGTAGTCTTTCCAGTTGAATTGGGGAAAGTACAGAGTTAAAGAGGCAAGATCAGTTCTCAAGTAGATATCAGATATATTTCTTCTCTCCTCTGGAGATGCCATTATTTGAGCCAGTTTCATTTCGAACTGTATCAACTCCTCGGTTTCATTTTCTGCTCTCTGAAGTTGACCTCCCATTAATTCCACTATGGTTAATATGAACACCTTGTAAGCTCGAATGTACTTCATATTAGAATACTCTAGATAGTAGTCTCTAGATGGTAGTCCAAGGGTGGTTTGATCTATATGAACTATGTATTCGTTGGAGTTTTTCATGTCTGGACCAACCCACTGAGCAATCAGGACGTCATTGTTCAATAGTCTCAGTCTTGCAAGTAACCAAAACAAATCGAATTCAGAGCTGTTGAATCTATTTGTAACCATTGGCCAGCCTCCCAATTCATCCAGGATTCTTTCCAAAGGACCTACTCCCCTTTTTGCTATCAAATCCTCCTGCATACATGATTTATAAAATACTCCTGCTTTGATAACAGCATCTGAGGTATCGTGGGGTGAAAAATCCTCGTCTATAAAACTTTTTTCAAAGAAGTAGGGTTGTTTTTTGGGGGGTTTCTTATCGATTCGTTCAAGAAGTCCCTTCAGAGCATTGTCCAGGCTTTCCCGTACCATTTCAAATGTATCGTAGGTAGCTCTGTCAGGCGGAATGGTGTAATATTTTTTCCAGTTTCCGCAAGAAAACTCGTAGAAGTCAGTGCAGGGGTCAATACTAGGATCCATGTATTTTTGCATAATTTTACTTTGTATACTTCTGATTTTTTTCGGGTCTATTGTATGCCACAATGCAGTGAGGTTATTCGTTTCATCCGGGTAGTCTTGAATCTCAGTAGTATAATTTATAGAGTCTTGGTTAATATTTTCCAAAGGAATCTTAACCGTGGTATTCAGTATTTCTGGAAATATATCCTGAATTATCCTTTCTATCTTACTAATGGTATTGTCCTCATCAAAGACATGGCTTTCTGATTTTTGGTGAACCCCTTCGAAACATGATTCTTCCTCCTCTTGGCAATGATATTTGGATGCCCTTTTTCTTTTACCGTGGATTCTACAGATTGAATCATTTGTGTAGATTCGATTTTCTGGGGCGTACACTGTTTTAATGTCTCTCAAAATATCCCTTTTATCTTCATCTTCTTGGAGAATATCAAATTGGTCATATCTTCTCAAATGGAAGGGCCAATGGATATTATGAATGAATGTTCTTGATTTTATATGTGGAGTTAAGTGAAGCAAGATGAATATTATACTAATTATCATAGGTTATTATTCAGTTTTTCAACACACTAGTTCGAAACTGACGAAACATTTTTCGAATATTTGTAAAATACTGTTTCCGAAAAGTTACTAGTTTCAGATTATATGTTGACTTTTTCATGTTCTGATTCGGTACATGAATCAATAACTGTCAGTGTCAGAGTGACTATGCATTAATTTGTATGAGTTGTTATGGTTACATATTTATCTCATTGTGATACATAATTATACATAATATTTTTCTACAAAAATCATCATCATTTCTAATCATTGATGCGAAATAAATCGAATGATGTATTAGGATGATATAAAGGATGTAAAATAAGTACGTTAAAATATTCAAGTGACGTATTCCTGACACAATTCTAAAAAAAAGTCTATATAAACTTGTGTCCGGAAATGCTTCTTTTCGTTTTTCAAAAATAACTCTTGCAAAAAATCAGTTATTTGCACGAAATTTGGTACCCGGGGTTTTTTTTGACGTGGGAAATTATAATTTTGTATTTATTTCCATGTAAAATCTAGAGGACGCTATTGCCCTTTTTTTTTGACAGCAAAGTTTTGGTACTTTTCATGAAAAAACCGAATTTCCACACCGTCTCCAAGTAAAAAAGGTACACTTCCTCAATAACATTGGAGGTTATCGTTATCGAGATATTTACACTTTGCTGAGAGCATTACAAAAACTGAGTATAATAATAATAATAATATTATTTTATTGATCCATTAGAATGAGCCTAAAAGAAGCAATTGAACAAGTCAGTACATATCAGATACATTCATATAACAAGAGTTATTGAAACAACTGAACAAAGCAGCAAAAATAAAAAATAATACAAAACATTTTTCAAAACATGTTTACTAATCTCAACTCATCGATTGTATAGGGGCTAATTTCAAAAAGTAGTTGTTTTATTTTATGTTTGAATACTTGTTCCTTGGTTATTATTTTGGAAGTGCATTATATAATCTCAGCCCCAAAATCTCAAACGCGTTCAGACGTAGAGATAAACGTGTTTTGGTGTGTGAAAATATGTTTTGATGCGGGTATTATATTCATGGAAAGATTGGTTTTGTTTGAAAAAATCTTTATTTTTTTAGATGTACAACAAAACTTCCAGAATGTAGAGAGCAGGTTGAGGCAAAATTTTAATTTTTTTTAATAATGTTCTGCACGATGATGTTCGTGATACTTTTGCAAGGGTTCTAATAATTCCCTTTTGCGTTACAAAAACATTGTGTGTAGGTGGAGAACTTCCCCAAACAATAATCCCATAGTTAATTTGTGATTGACAATGTTTCATGATGAATTTCACTAGTTCGGACTTCCATTGTGTAATATATAAAATGATTTGAAATCCCTGAAACAACTAAAAAGTAATAATTAAAAAGGAATAGCTGAAAAGAACAATTATATTAAGCAAAAATAACCTGAAATTAAATAATAGTGAAATAAAATACAAGTAAAAATAGTATAATTGAAAAAAAAATAAAGAAATAAAAATAAAAAGTTAAGAGATTCTAAGCCACGTTAGTTCACTACGTTTCGATTGTTAGTATCTACATAGTTAATTCTTGATTGTATCTGTCCATAGTGATATAAAAGTAGACCAGAGTAGCGTAGAATTCTTTTCAGGTTTCTTAACGCATAATACTGTTTATTGAGTATTTTAGTGAGAGTATCGCAGTGCTGACGGAAATTGAGATTGCTGTCTAGAAAAAGCCTTGAAACCTGTCAACCCTTTCTGTTATGTTATCGTGCAAATAAAAATGATATTTCCTATATGGTACCACTTTATTGTATCTCCAACAACGGTAAGTACTCGACTGCGTTTTTAGAGCAAGTCTACAAGATCAGTTCTCAAGTAGATATCAGATATATTTAAACCTGTTACTGGAGAAGTATAATGAAAACAAAGCATTCGTACTGGGCTGAACCACGAATGCATTATTGGCGCATTAGAGCACCAGCCTGAGTAAATAAAAGCAAAGACATCTTCCGTTAGATAGACGCAATCTATGAGATCGACAGAAGTGTCAAACCACGAATATCAAAGATGAACAAACCTCCCCAAAGCAACTAGATGTAACCAGACCCGAAAAAACAACAAACGACAAATAATTTTTGTCATATATTGTCATATATGTGTTTCTGTTTAAAAAAATCTGTTTTTCCGTTAACCAGCTGTCGCACCCCTACGAACAACAACCCTCAGAAGTCGAAACTTGTGCGAGCTAAGGATTAACGAGGTCTTACCTTTTAACGTGTGATTCCTAACACGGGTTGGACGGTAGCAAGTGAAGATCGATCGTTCAGACTAGGGCTTGAACCACCGACCAACACAGCAGTCAATTCGAGTGAGTGAACAAAGCACCTACGCCGAACCGCTTGGCTACCGACTGAAGAAGATCAAACTGATCTTCCTCTTGAAGATGATCACTTGGTGATCTAAACACGTGTCGAGGTGTTAAAATAACGGTTTGGTGTTGGGAAAAAACTCCTGTAACATTAATTATATTAAGCAATGAAACCTGATATGGAAATACAATGAAATGAATGAAATAATCAAGATGCAAAATGAAATGACCACACAGTAGAAAAAAATAAAGAAGAAAAAAAATAAAAATAAGCAAGTTCAAACCAAGTTACTTGACGACGTTGCGATTGTCTTCAGGTGATGACTGGACTATTCCTCCGAATGATGGCTGTTTATAGGTCATTCGAGTGCTCTCCCTGCTTCACCGGTTCAGTGGGAGTTGATCGTTTGGCGGGAGATGACCATATGTTTCGTATCCCTACACTAGTTTGGCTGAATGCGTCATTTAACAACAATATGAATTTCCTCTCAAACCAGTGTTCCTCTCTTGGATGATCTCAGCCTGGAACCACTTGATGTTGAGTCCAAACATGTTCTGTTATACCCGATTTTCTGGTTTCTCTTTGCTGTGTATTTCTCTTGTGTTCGGCAATGCGGACTAATAATGGCCTCCGATATAGGATTTGCCTAACTCACAGGGTGCCCAGTAAATTCAATTCTTAGAATCGCAGTCCGCGTTTGGTAGCCTGGTTTCTGTGAGGCTACTACAGATGGTATTTTCGGATCTGAAGCAGGTTCTGATGTTGTACTTGGACCCAATTTTTCTTATCGTTTCCGACACTCCTCTGTCGTAGGGTAGGGAAGTACAAGCACTGGTTGTGACGGCTTCTCTTCCTTGCAAGGTTCTTGCTGTCTTCCTGTCAAAATCTGTTCCACCATCACTTAGGAGTATAATTTTCGTTGGAGATCTTTTTTGATGATGCCTAGTTTCCTTCCTTCGTATTACAGAGCCAGAAAGCACGCTCCACTAGAGTCTTGATGATTCCTCTTTTGATAGATTGACGGTGGTTGAATTCATGATTCAGATACTGTCCCATGTAAGTGGGTTTTCGATACTGAGATGTTTCCCACTTAGTGTCGGTCCTCTTCACCAATACGTCTGAGAATGACATTTCGTTGTGGAATTTCTTTTACATTGTGAAGGTGATGAAGGCTTTCACGCTGTTGATGTACTTCAGAAAAGTGTTTACTTCTGTATTCCTATAGTGTCATACTATGGAGGTGTCGTCAACATATTTTAACCAGACTCGGGGCTTCTTGTTTCAAGAGTTTCAAACCATTCCATATGTTAGCTATAACTCGTAAAAGTGGCGATCTCATTGGTATTTTAGCTTTTCATTCTTATGTTATCAGTTCTTCTATAGATTTCGAATCTGAGGTACGGAATCAGCTTCTGGGGTGAATCATGCAGATGGATTGATATCTTCAATTCACAGAAAAAAACAATACGCTTAATTGATAACTTGAATACTCATGA